TCTCTCACTGTCCACTCTGGCTGTCAAAAATTAAAAAAAAAAAAAGAAAAGAAGTCTGAAGTCAGAAAATAATGAAAGAATAAATTAAACAGCAAAAACATCTATCAAAAAATGTAGTAAAAACAGCAATCAAAAATATAGACAATTTGGGCTGGCATTGTGGCATAGCAGGTAAAGTTGCTGCCTTCAACACTGGATCCCATATGGGTGCCGGTTCAAGTCCCTGCTGCTCCACTTCTGATTCAGCTTTCTGCTAACAGCTTGGGAAAGGCAACAGAAGATGGCTCAAGGGTTTAGACTCCTGCCACCCATGTGGGAGACCTAGAAGAAGTTTCTGGCTCCTGGCTTTGGCCTGGTCCAGCCTTGGCCATTATGTTCATCTGGGGAGTGAATCAGCAGATGGAAGATTCTCTCTCTCTCAATAAAACTTTGACTTTCAAAAAAATGAATCTTTAAAAAAATATATAGGTGATTGATGAAAAAGTACTAAATATAAGCAATGATCATCAATGGCTGTAAACTGAACAGAAAGACAATCAAACATCACATGCCACATATGCAAATATGCACAACCATTAAGCTTACCTGCTAAAAACACGATTTTAATAAAAATCCCTGGATCAGTGGTCAGAAAACTTTCCATAAAAGAACAGGGTAAATATTTCAGGCCTTGTCAGCCTTCTATTCTCTATCACAACTACCCAACTATCCCAACACAGCACCTAAACAGCCAGAGACAATAAGAGATTGGATGTGGCTGTATTCCAATAAATATTTATAACACAAGGGAAACCCAGATTTGACCTACAGACTGTAGTTTAACTCCTATTGTATTTTTTTTTAAGATCTATTTTATTTATTTGAAAGAGCTACACAGAGAGAGGAGAGGGAGAGACAGAGAGAGGTCTTCCACCTGCTGGTTCACTCCCCAAATGGCTGCAACGGCAGGAGCTGTGCTAATCTGAAGCCAGGACCAGGAGCTTCCTCCAGGTCTTCCCACACGGGTGCAGGGCCCAAGAACTTGACCATCATCTACTTTTCTCCCAGGCCACAGTAGAGGGCTGGATCGGAAATGGAGCTGCCAGGACCTGAACTAGCGCCTATATGGGATGCTGGCACTGAAGGTGGCGGCTTTACTCGCTACACCACAGCGCCATTTTGGATTTAAGTTCTAATATCAGGCAATACAGGCAACAGAAAAAAAGATTAAATGTTACTATTAATATGCAATTAGAAAACTCATACTTGGAAAAAATGCACAAGCTAGCTTCTACAACAGACTGCAAAGTTACACAAAGGAAAGACGAAGGGGGAACTTAAAAGAGCCTTAAGAATCATCAACCAGTTGCAAACGTCTCAATAAAATAACAAGAAGATGAGGCCAACGTTGCAGGTATAGCCGTCACCACATCCCACATGGGCACAGGTTCAAGTCTCAGCTGCTCTACTTCAGATCCAGCTCCCTAATAATGGCCTGGGAAAAGCAGCAAAGGACACCTCAAGTGCTTGGGCCCCAGAAGAGAACCAGAAGAGGTTCCTGGCTTCAGCCTGGCCTGGCCCTGCCTTGGCCAGTAAGGCCATCTGGGGAGTGAACCAGCAGATGGAAGATTTCTCTCTCTGTGTGTCTCTTCCTCTCTCTTTATTTTCTTTTTCTTTCTTTCTTTCTTTTTTTTTTTTTTTTTGACAGGCAGAGTGGATAGTGAGAGAGACAGAGAGAAAGGTCTTCCTTGCCATTGGTTCACCCTCCAATGGCCGCCGAGGCTGGCACGGTGTGACCAGCTCACCGTGCTGATCCGATGGCAGGAGCCAGGTACTTATCCTGGTCTCCCATGGGGTACAGGGCCCAAGCACTTAGGCCATCCTCCACTGCACTCCCTGGCCACAGCAGAGAGCTGGCCTGGAAGAGGGGCAACCGGGACAGAATCCGGCACCCCGACCAGGACTAGAACCCAGTGTGCCGGCACCACAAGGCGGAGGATTAGCCTAGTGAGCCACGGCGCCGGCCTCCTCTCTCTTTCATATACATAAATAAATCTTTTTAAAAAATGGAGATGAAAAAGATAGCTTGAAAACAGATCAACAAATTATGAAATCTGACCAACAGTGAGAAAATAGTGATATTCGTATTTACTGACTCCCAAAAGGAAAAAAAGACTGTGAAAAAAATGAACAAATAGACTGGAAACATCCCAAACTTGGCAAAAGACTTAAACTTACAGATTCAGAAAGTTCAGTAACACCAAGTAGGATAAATACAAAGAAATCCAAGCCATGGCACATCATAAGCAAACTGCTGAAAATAAAATACTTACAAGGACCTTAAGGTGTCCAGAAAAATGATGCATTACTTTTAGAACCCAACAATTAAGAAAAACTGCAAGGCCAAGGCTGTGGTTCAGTGGCTTAAGCCACAGTCTGCAGCTCTAGTCTCCCATATGATTACTGGTTCAAGTCCCACTTGCTCCACTTCCAATCCAGCTCCCTGCTAATGTGCTTGGGAAAGCAGCAGAGAATGGCCCAAGTGGTTGGGCCTCTGCACTCACATGCAAGACCTGAAAAAGCTCCTGGCTCCTGGCTTCAGCTTGACCCAGCTATGCTATTGTGGCCATTTGGGGAGTGAACCAGCAGAGGGAAGATCTGTCTCTTCTCTTTTCTCTCTCTCTTTCTCTGTGTGTGTGTGTAACTCTCCCTTTCAGATAAATAAATCTTAATAAAAAAGAATGTAAAGAGTTAAGAGAGAGAGAGAGTGAGAGAGGGAGTTCTTCCTTCTGTTGGTTCACTCCTCCAATGGCCACAACGACCGGGGCTGGGCCAGGACAAAGCCAGGAGCCAGGAGTTTCCTCTGGGTCTCACACGTGGGTGCAAGGGCCCAAGCACCCAGGCCATCCTCTGCTGCTCTTCTAGGCCATTAGCAGGGAGCTCCATCAGAAGTGGAACAGCTGGAACTCAAACCAGAGCCCACATGGAAAGCCAATGCTGCGAGCCGGGGCTTTAACTCACTGCACCAGAGCCTGCCCCCACTTAATAAAATTGTTTTAAAATAAAGACTGCAGATGTCTCATCAGAAACCATGAGGGGGTCGGCGCCGTGGCTCAATAGGCTAATCCTCTACCTAGCGGCGCCGGCACACCAGGTTCTAGTGCC